ACACAGACGCAATGCGTTACTCTGCGATGCGCAAAACTCCGCATTTGAACAGTCAATAGCAAATACTTAAACTAATAACAAAACATACTTACAGTCGCTGATTCAGAAGCGCCAGATTGTCATAGCAAAGTCGGAATTTACCCTTTTTTATTTTTTAGAAATAGCCTGTGCGCACAGCCAGCCTTGTACTCTTCTAGGTTAAAAAAATGCGTTGCACAAATTCGAACATCTGGGTTGTGCTGTTCTGTTGTAAATAAATCTTAACCAATGATTCCTAAGTGCATCTACTTCCGGAAGACCAAATAAAGTGATTTTGCTTTCACCTAGAAACACAGCGTCTCCCTGACATGCTGCTTCAACACTACTGCTGTTCCTGAAACCACGCCTTCTTTCTTTGCATGCACATTTGAGCGGCATTATGCTAATATTTCCACATAGCGACCTAGATATGTGGGGGCGTGTTAGAACGAGCCGTTTTAGGTAGGCGTGGCTGACTCTGAACTTTTATAAATAATATCTCTTTGGATTTGAGACTTTAGTCTTTGCAACTTTACAGATCTTCTTTATGCACCAAGAGTTTGTAACACTTCAAAGAGAAAGGAAAACTTGAAATCGCATCATATGACCCCTTTAAATTATTATTAATAATAATTAGTCAATGGAAATAATTACACATTACTCAGGGAATCCTTAAAAATCCTTAAATTCCTTAATCAATAGACTGGCATGCTATATGCATACAAACAAATATTTAACACTAATTAGGTGCAAAAGAACGCTCTTACATTCAATTCTAAGTGGCATACAACTTCATATTACATATAACTCACATTATATAACTTCTTGAACATTAACTACGTGAAAATAAAACAATGTCTTCAATGGATGAAGCGAACAGTCGGAGCATGAACGTATAGTAAAGATAGCTCATTCCATTAGTTTACTCTTGAGACGTCTGACCTTCTTCAGCAGCTTTGCTCCATCAAGTTCCAAAAACACTTCATAGCTGTACTCCAGGTTTTTGAGATTCTCAAGGTTGAAAGATCAATCCCATCAACAGTATGCACTTTGTGGTTCTGTCTCTAACAACACACATCTGCTGGGCCTTCCTCGAACTGTGGGATTGTGAATCACCAACAGCTTCATTATTGCATTTGCGTGGCCTTCGAGTTCATCCTCCTGTTGAAAAGAAAAACAAAAAGCAAATACATTTTTATGTAAGTTCAAGCAAATTAGCATGCTGTTTGAATACAGTTTTCTTAGTCATGCCAATTATTTGAACACAAGCAGGATTTCTGTATTAATCAGCGCTATAAACAGCTAACAAATTAAAATCAAAACCCAAATTCCTGATCCCAGTATCCCATAATGAAACAAGTATCAGTCTAACACCTTGCTGTAGATGGAAATAGCTTGTCATGATTCAAAGTAGATTTTTATGCTGGAACAGATCACCCCCTTCAGAAAGCAATGTCACCAAAGAACAAAGGAGTAACAGAGCTGCCACTACCTGTCAGGACCTCGGGCTGATCAGCCTGGCTTTGTCTGTCTGCTTGTGTTCATGTTGTCATGTGCATCTAGCACATGGCTTCTGTTTTGTTTTGTGTTTTTTCATTTGTCATGTCTTGGCCCCACCCCTTCGTTTCACTTTATTAGTCTATTTGTCTCACCTGCCACTGCTCGTTATCCTGTTTATTGATTGCCCTACTTATTCCTCTTGTGTGTGTCATACTTTGCCAGATTGTTGTTTGCTCTTGAGCTCTCAGCAGCGTCATCTGTCTATGTGCTCTTGGCCTGCCTGGGATACTGAGACCTGGTTCTGTTGGCTTTGATATTTGGATCTCCCTCCTACCTGACTCTGGCCTTTCAAGCTTATACATCTGGTTGTTTTTGGAGATTTCATCTGGTTACCTCTGCCTGTCCTTACTTCAGCAGCAGCCTGCACCTATGTGGTTTTGCCTCCTAGAATCTTGCCATTTTGTGACTGTTGCCAGGCAAAGGATACATTTTTTGACCATTTTGAGAAGTTTTTTGCTAAGTTTGTTTTTTTGTAAAGAAAAATAAATCCATATTTTTTACCTGCATTTGGGTTCTCTCTCTGTAACTACCCCTGACACTACCTGACTATATGGGTGAACCTTTCAAATTGTCATAATTAAATGTCCCCCATCTGTACCTTTCATTCATTTCTAGCAAACCAATGAACCATCAATATCAAACATTAGCTTGCCAATGTTCCCCATTAAAGGTTGAATACTTAATATTAATCAATGCACAATAAAAAAAAGTCAAAACTCCCATTGCAACATATTTTCCACAACTAGCCATTCTAAACTGTTGGTAGCAGTAACATGATTCCCATTGCTAGCATGATGGCATTCTAAAATGCTGTCGATGTCTTTTTTATAAAGGTGGGCCATGATATACTTACTACTCCAATAAAAAACTAGACTAAACCCTCAAAACTTAAAATCAAGCATAATTGTTGTTCACACGTGTAATTCTTAAAAGGTTAGTTCACCTAAAATGTTAATTCTGCCATCATTCACTCTCCCATGTTGTTCCAAACCCATAAGACTTTGGTTAATCTTCAAAACACAAATGAAACATACAATTGATGAGGGTTTAAATTATGTTTACCCATAGTAATAATAATGTTTATTCTAAAGATGTAATGTGACCAGTCATGCTTTATTTATCTTCTTCTTATTATTATTTCAATGCTACTTTGTATAAATATATTAATTAGCATACTTTTATTGTGACTTTTTTATAACTTGAATGAATCCCCTGATTAAATTTATTCGTATTGTCATAAAATGTTAACTCAATTTAATAATACACATTTTAATTGAACACAATTTTAATTGTTTTAAAGATATGCATTTAATCTGAACAGAGAGATACATTCAAAGATACAAAATGTGCATCTGCATATGTATACTATACACACACACTAGATAGATAGATAGATAGATAGATAGATAGATAGATAGATAGATAGATAGATAGATAGATACACTCTCAGAAAAAAAGGTACAAAAGCTGTCACTGGGGCGGTACCTTTTCAAAAGGCACACCTTTGTACCTAAAGAGTCCATATTGGTACCTTAAAGATACATATAAGTACCTAAAGTGTACATATTAGTACCTAAGAAGTACAAAAAGTGTCCCTTTTGAAAAGGTACCGCCCCAGTGACAGCTTTTGTACCTTTTTTTTCTGGACGATCTTTCTTTCTGGCAGCGGAACACTGGCTGTTGGAAACAAACATTTTATAATGTGAGCTTTAATTCTAAAATCCTGAAGTTTTATTTATTTATTTATTTTTCCCCCTAAAACGTTCAGTCACTGTACTCTCACAATGTCTCATTTTACACAGTAAATGAAACATTGTGCAACAATCATGACTTACAGGTGCATCCCATGATCCTTCTCTGTTGATGAAGTACGTCTCTGTAAGTGAAATGATATCCAGGTTAGTCGGCATTAATCAATCAGTTCATCAATTCTCCACCCCGCTAAGATCATCACAGCTTTCAAGAAATGACTGAACACACCTCTTTCACATGCGCTGCAAACATCATTAACAGCTTTAACTTGTCAATGCTGGCAGATGGCCATGGTATAAGTGGGATAATGCACTAGCTGTGCATTAAACGATTTATACAGTATATGCTCATGTGTCACTTACTCTGCCGTTATCACGGTGCAATGTGACGCTCAGCTCAATATTCCTCAATAGTCGCTCACGGCCCGAGCGAACGCTCCACTCAGGTACTGTCTCACGCTCACAGAAAAAGCAAAGTCCACTCAATAAAACACGCAGGCGTATAAATAGTACGCCAAATAAAAACGAAAACTTGTATTGATTTGCAAAAATGGACTTTGGCGTGCATATGATATGCATGTGTTTGGCGTGCATATAATACGCAGTTTTCGCGTGCATATGATACGAAATTTGTTGGCGTGCATATGATACGCATCTACCCCACAACCCTAAACCTACCCATCGCGTAGCATATACACGCCAAAGTCCATTTTTGCGTATCAATACCACAAGTTTTTGTTTTTATTTGGCGTACTATTTATACGCACTTTCATGAGATCGGGTTGCACTGAACAGAGGTGCTCACCAGTCACATTTGTTGTGTGTGTTATACATTGGAGGTGAACATCAAACTGGATATTACCACACAGATAACGTGGAGGAGGCACGAACAACAAGCATGTAATTTACTTCTATAGATGACATAACACACACACACACATGTATATGTTGATACTGATCTATAAAATGGTTATACAATTAATACAATGTCATTTTCCCATGTAGCACTTTCTCTCTCGGCTGGCGAGTCATTATTTAAAGACCCAACCAGAACTAGTTAATTATACACAGACATTCAGAAAGTGCAGGCAGTAGATGCTTTTAGATACACAATACATATTTCAAATTTTTATGGACAGACTATAAGCAGAAATGAAACTGAAATGCAATATAATCAGAAAAAGAAAAAAAGATAAGTATCGTTCATAAGTATTCTATAAGTATTCTTCAGAGTAAACTGAAGCAAAACTTAAAAATATGTTTGTTTTTTTCAGATGCCATGACAAACAACATATGCTACTTCAATATACTTGTCTTCAAACAATCTGTATTGTATAAAGCATTATATAAATAAAGGTGACTTGACCTGACTTTAAAAGAAACCCAGCCCTGCTACATGCTAAATGTGCATAAAATGGGAAAATGAATCCTTACAAATTAAATGTGTGACTAAATTGTCATACAGACATGCATTAATAAGAAAACAGTAATAATACAACATAACCAAATTAATCTAAATAGCATTTTTGATTTACAGTTAGTCCACGACTTTTAATGCTGCCACTAATCGATAACACTGAAGATTGTCTTAAAATGTTACTGAATATTTATTTTAAATGTTTTATTTGATTTGATATCCATACATATTTTTATATTCAAATTAACAATTTCTTACTTTTTTTTTTTCTTAAGCATAGTTGTTGCTCTTTCAAGCATATTTTTTGCATTCTCAAGCGCAGTTTGTGCATCGTTCATTAAAGCGATTGCATTCTCAGAGCTGGTCATTGCTGTATCTTCTGCTTTCCGTCCAGAAAGAACTCTTATAACAGCTCCTCCAAGAGCTGCACTAACAACAACAGCGGCAGATGCTGCTTTGACACTCGCAGCCACTGTTGCTGCTGCTTCTCCTGCACCCAGAACATTTGCTCCAGCAGCTATTTCAGCAATATTTTCTAGACTTGCTGAAATGGTTTTTATTAGACCTGAACCTACTAGATCACAAGAACCCAGAAAAGCATTAACCAGCACCCGTGATGCTGTTCCTGCAGCCCGCCTCACAATTGTTTCATGAACATTGTTCTTTGCTTTTAATTGTTTCATTTCTGAACTCATTTTGTGTGCTTTCTTTTCTTTCATCTTTTCTTCAATTTGGTTCTTCAACTCTTGAAGCAGAGCGTTGGTGTAGCAGCTGTCCTTTTTCAGAATGGCGTGGATGGTGTTCATCACTTTTTTTGTGTGTCCTTTTTTTTTGTATTTGTTGTCAATGACATGACAGCGACCTCGACATTTCTCAACCAGCTGCTTTAGTTGTGAATTGGTCTCCACAAATTTTTCAATGGTTTGGTGTTCTTCTAGTTGCGTACCAAAAGTGAATAAAATCATTGTGTGTTCAAAGACCTCCTCTGTCAATGTGTTCAGAAGGTGTTGCACCATCTTCCTTTCATTTGTTGTGAATCTTCCAACCTTTAGGACAATGATAAAGGCGTGAATGCCTTCCGAACATTCAATCAGAGCTTTGATTATCTCTGATTTCATCTTCTCCTCATTTTCTGTGTCAAAGAAATCAGGGGTATCAATAACTGCCATTTTTATTTTTTTTATGATTTTCTCTTTTCTCTGACATTCAGTTGTAACAGAATTAGCCGAAGCGTTAGTGATGAATGCTGTTTCTCCAAGAATCATATTCCCAACGCTGCTTTTGCCATTTCCTGTGCTTCCAATAAGGACAACATTTTTCGTTGTCTGTGCCATGATGTCAGTCTCTGTGATATGCAGGTTATTCTTGATTCTGGACCTCCTTCAAATCTAGAAACATTCATGGATAGTAATCATTTATGATGTTCCTCCAACCAACAGTTTATTTGTCTGAGCACATTCAAATGCATATTTTCTTACTCATTGTACTATTCAGTAAAACAGTGACTCAAAACGGTTGTTTTTTTTGCACTGGTATGGGTGGGGTAAAGGAAATTACTTAATGAGAAGCGTTTTGTTTTTTTTAAGATTAACAAAATTAAGGTTTGTTTTTTTAGTTGTTCACCAAAAGTGAACAAGATCAGTGTGTGTTTCAAGACTTCCTCTGTCAATGTGATAAACTAAGTGACCTTTCCTTTGAAGACATCTGTCAAATATTGTGAAATATTTACCATAAATGGTAGTTTCATGTATCATCTGCTGACACAGATAAACTTATAACTTTAAAACATGTTTACATTTAAATACGACTATGGATTTCACTCTGAGATTTCTTAACCACACTGTGTGTATGAATATTTGTTACATAGGCTTATAATTTGACCAAATCATTTTTACTAGTGTGTGTCTTTCTCACATTACCTTTACTAAGTCATTTTTATCACTAAATAAGGACCATTCAGAGCATTAATTCTGTTGAATACTTCATATAATCTCACCAGACAAACACTCTCTTGAGATATTGGCATATAGGCCTAAACTGGTGTAGGATCTGTCTCACAACAGACCCACCTACATGATGGAGACACACACATCAAACCAGCACATTCCATGGAAGGTTGTTGAGGTTCGTCTCCCCAACTATTCTATTGTTACTTGTAACAAATTTCAAATTTCTGCTATCGACTTCGGTAACACTTTATTTTAAATTGTCCTTATTACACATGTTAAATGTATTTACTATTATAATAACAATAAGTTATGCATTTTACATGCAAGCAACCCTGAGCCAAACCCTAATCCTAACTCTAACCATATAGTTTTATTTACTGAGTAATATTAATTAACAGTAATAGTAATTAATATATTACTCAGTACTTAAATATTATATATTATAATTGCACTGTAATAAGGGCACCTTAAAGTGTAACCTTGACTTCTATGGGGATCTGTCTTCGAGATATCAACTATTCAGTTCTGACTAGTATACAATTCTATTGTGAATAGTACATAATTTGTATGTACTAGTAGTTATTCATTAGGTACTAGTATTTTTAGATACTAGTACTTAATCATTAGATACTAGTATAATTAGATACTCTTATATATAATAGACACAAGTTCTTATTTATTACATGTTAGTTCTTATTTATTAGATACTAGTACTTATTCATTAGGTACTCGTACCTATTAAATACATACTAGTACTATATTTGTAACATACTCATACTTATTAACTAGTAGTATTTATTCAATAGATACTAGTACACATTTATTAGCTACTAGTACTTATTTTAAATGTTACTAGTACGATTTTATATTTTACTAGTCAAAATTTTAATTGAACTCTTCTGTGGCCATTTGGACTATTCATAGCATAAGACAAGGAAGTTATTTTTACTTTCATCGACAGCTTGTAAGACACAGTTAACAAATGCAGTGAGCAGCGCTGTCATCGGAAACCACCCTTAATAGATGAAAGATAGTACGACAAAGATATTGCTTTCCTCAGCAGACATTCAAACTAATGTTTTATTGTGAATATGAGATTGAGCTGAAGAATGAAAGCTGTATCAGATGCAGGTAATCACACTCGCTCAGTTCATCTCTCTCTCATAATACTCTATAGAATACAGTGAGCTTTTAATAAAGTGATACAATAAGCTTTCAATGAAGCAACTATCAACGTTCGTTCCTCTGTTACTAGTTCTAAAGTGACATTTACAGTACAGCCCTGATAATATATTTATTGTTTTGACAATATCATAAAGACTTTTTTTATTTTTAAGTTAAGTAGATCCAAAAACCAGTTCATGCACACCAGCCAAACAGCCACAATACCGACGACATCCACCACATGGGATCATGTCTTTTTGGAGAGTATTTATAATTCCTTACAATAATAATATTTTAATGATCTTTCTGTATTTTCTACAAACTTGTTCTACTACCTCTGCCATGTTGCACCTTCTTTCTCCTCCCTTCTCATAATCTTCTTCTTACTGTCTCTTTATTACGGTTTCCTGTCTAATCTCTCTCTTAAGCCTTGTTTCCACTGAGTGGTACGGTTCAGTACAGTACAGTATGGTTAGCAATTATTTCCATTTCCATTGTCAGAAGTTGTGAATGGTACCAAAATAGCGAACCATACCATACCACTTTTTTGGTTCCCTTCTGTTGGGGTGCCAGCAATTCAAAAGCATAAAGAGTTGTCTGCTCTCCAATCGCTCTCACTGTACTTTGATGTCATACGTTGACTGGTCTGCGCAGCGCCAATGCTTCTCGAACAAGCCTAGTGTTGCGCTTTCTTCTTCGTGCAAGAATGACATCGATCACTACTTTATATAGACTAAGCCAGTCAAGTAAGGGTACTGTTGGTGGTGGAAGCGAGCCTTTATATGTTGGTTTATTAATATTCAACAAACTATTAGCATACTGAGCAGAAATGCACATTCAAAAAGTACTAGTTCTATTAAGTTCAGGATATCTTTGGTCAACAAATTTACTAATAATTAAAAAATAAGTACTAGTTTTAATTTTTCTTAACAAGTATAATTAAATGCTAGTCACTATTGGAATAATTACTAGTATCTAATAAATAAGATATAGTATCTAATGGCTGAGTATCAGTACTTAATGGAAATAGTGTCTAAAAAAAAATAAGTACTAGTACCATGAAAATAGATACTAGTATGGTTTATAGATTAAATGTTAAAATGGCTTGCCATAGGCTTGTGTTGTTTTCAGTAAGTCATTAGTGGGAGGTTCACTTTCTTGTTCAGCCCTTACAAAATTATCCTGAAGGACAAAGTGAATTTGACTGAACTGACATTATCAGATGAGGGGAAACAATTGTTTTACTGAATTGATCAGAGTAATGACACTGTTTTCTTCAAAAGAGGTTCTTAGCAGATTTGAACTTGATTCAAAATTGTTGTACTTCACACAGTTTACTGAACCAAATCTGACTTGAGCTGTATAATGATACTAGTGTCTTACAGTCTAAAGTTGCTTTACAGCTCAATTTTGAATTTGTCTCATATTTGATGTTTGTATCGATTCTGTTATTTTCCTGTTTATTAAAGCTGCTTTGAACACAGTCTCTATTGTATAAAGCACTTTAGAAATAAAGGTGACTTGACGACATTCATTTACATTCTTTACATTTATGCATTTAGCAGATCATTTTGTCCAAAATAACTTGACAAAAGAGGAACAACGTTATCTGTATCATTCGGGCTTGGGCCTAGAAATGGAAATTCTCTCATCATGTTGTCATTAAAATGGCATTTCCTTTTCTGGGAAAGAGCCATTGTCTGCTCTTAGTCAAAATATCTGCAACAGTCTAACTCTCTTCTAAATGTGCTCACAATGTATTTTACAGCAGGCCCAGTTCTAGGATTTTGTGACTGGTGGGGCATTATTTTGCAGTCAGCATCTGTGTTTACACATTTATCCCCTAGAGCATCTCCTAATCAACGTCTTGCTGATGATGTTGAATAATGTCTCGCTTGTAATGGCTGGACAAACCAGACACATTATTTGTTATAAAAAATACAATAAATAATACATTTTGACCTGAAACTTCACAAGCACATTGTGGAGAGCCATAAGATTAATATTACTGGAATACAGTTTGTAGTTCGGGAGGAAGAACAAGGAAGTCAGGTGTGGCGGGTAAACCTTTTTAGTTTCCCCCAAAACAAAATAGAACAAAAATAAAGTGCTGCTCGGCTCTCTGCCTCCACAGTCTTGTATACATATACGGACACACACACACACACACACACACACACACACACACGCACACTGCTCCGACTCTCTCTCCCTCAGATACAGCCCCCTCTCCCAGGTCTGCCGGCGCTTATCTCTCGTCTCTCTCTCCCACAATCACTGGAATTACAGACAGGTGTTAATCATTATTCACTTGACCTCCTTCTCATCATTCATCTCCAAACCCTTTCTCCCGCTGCAGCCCTTCGCCTTCCCACGCCCCCCTTGCCACAATTACATCTTGAAAAAAGGGGCATAACAGGTGCCCTTTAAAATAACTCACTCTTTGAATATTAATAAAACTGGTTCAGGGATTTATATACATTCAGTGGTGAAATGAAGATCAAATGAAATAATGACAATGAATGCCCCATATTTTACTGTCAACCCTATTTAAGAGGCAAAAGAGAATTGTCTCTGGGGCCCCCTAGTGCTCGGGGCCCTGGGCTGCAGCCCATGTTGCCCATTAGGATAATGCGGCCCTGCTCAGCGGTCTTTCAGCACTCAATGTCAAAATGATTGAGATGACCAATCAAATCAAAGTAGGTGAGGTTTACTCTTCAGAAGCAGAGTGCGAATTCCAGCTCGAAGCATTACTTTTAACATTGAAAGAGAGCAAGGCAAGATGATGAAGTAGCAAAACATCCAAGTATATTATTGAACACTATTATATACATATATATATCATGAAAGACATACTTGTGTCATCTCAACTGCAACTTTTGCGTTCTCATAAGCAGTGTCGGGCAGTAACTAGTTACAGTAATAATATTACTTTTTGCAGTAACTAGTATTGTAACCAATTACTAAGAGTTCAGTAATAACATTACAGTTACCATCCATAAAACAGCTCGTTACTTAGTTACTTTTGATGCCTCAACCCCTACTGATTTGAAATCCAATAATTCCTAGATTTACTTCATAATAGTCACAGCACATGAAGTCACCAGCGCATCAGGAACGCTTGGAATATGGAAAAGCTTACATTCAGGGGATGGAAATATTGCCATTACACTGATTTTGTCAGGAGAAAAGCTGATCTGAACACAGATGTGTAAGTGGTGGCATTACACGGCTCGCCCACCCACATCTCTCTGATCCCGATATAAAT